TGTAAAAAAAAAAAAAAAAAAAAAGCATTAATAAAATCTTAAAATCTTTAAATGCCCGTCTTTGAATTTGAGTTCGAACACAGCATATTTAAAACAAGAGACTATTACAAGACTTTGCTAGGATCCTGCTAGCCGCGCCAAGACGCTTTGTTAGAAGGAAACAACTGATTGAAAGCATGTGTTCAAATATCACATCTGTCATTTATCTGTCGAAGAAAAGGTAGGACTTTTGTATGAGTATGTTTCAAAGCTTGTTTTTCCGTTCCCTAAGTACGCCAATCCCCAGGGGTGTAATTAGTCTTTTACGACAAATCTGAACTACTGCAGTTCTTCCGAAACGTGAAGAGAATATACTTACGATGACATTACTGAATGATCTGAAAGCCATCTGCTATTCTGAACTATTTTGTACTTTCTTTAAAAATGCAGAAGTTTATTATAAGTACAGGTTTTTTTGCGCATCTACAGTTATTGTTTTCTAATTACTGTCATGTAACATAAAATGCAAAAAAAAAAAAGCATTTAATATTTATTTAGTCTTTCACATAATATGTCAAAAAACAAATTTCTCTTAAGTCATCTGTTTATGGCTGAAGTTGCTATGTGTATTTCTTTAATTTATGCTATGGAAGTTAAAAGTACAGCGATCAATAAAAATATAAAAATTCTGCACATGTGAAAATAAAATTATGGTAAAATGCTTGAACACCATCTCCAAAACAAGAGACTAAATTTAAAAAAAAAAAAATCATGTTTGAGCTAAAAAAATATTAATGTCTTGCAAAATCTTTTCTAACATACGTGACAATTTTCGATAGAGGGACAAGCTTTTTTTACTGCTTAGACCTAGAGTACTTTTTTTTTACTTCTTACTAAACAATCATAGATCCTTTCCCAGATTTACTAATCAAGTCTTGCTGGCCTAAGATGTAATACTTTGATAAAGAAAATTCTAAAAAGTAAAAAGGTTAGCTTTTTTTATTTCAGTAATTCTAAAAATACTTTTAAAAATTCGGACTACTACAAATTTTATTAAAACTCATACCTATGATTCAAAAAGGTGCTTCAGACCGAAGTTTTTTTTTTAAATTAAAAAAGAAAATGTATTTGATATGGTAATGAAGTTAAAATATCATTGCACCTGCTTAGACAATATTCAATCTAAGAATGCTACTATTTTAGAGAATTCTATGCATTTCAAATAAAAAATAGCACAAATAATTATTATATATTCAGATTATACACGACTACTGCGTCATTCGCCAAAACAACATACATTCAAAAAACAATAAAAAAAAAAAAAAAAAAAAAAAACGTCCAAAAAAGGACATTTCTTTAACGTTTTGTGTGCTACCTTTATTATTAAAAATACAATGTTCTTTGCACTTACACCATAAAATTCAGTTCAATAGCAATGTCGATAATTAATTTTAAAATGAGCATATATTTAGAATTTCCGGTACACAATTCCGCGCGCTAGGAGATAAAAAGGTTTCCACCCCCGTAGAGTGTTGCTATTGCTTGGTTTGAAATCGTTTGAGTTGTTACTCAAAAATTCGTTAAAGTTTCACGAAAATATGAAATAGATAATAAAACAAATTCCAAATTTCAAATTTGGTCTTCCACATGCCCATATTCGTAGGAGGATTACGTCATTCAAACTTGGATGGCCTTTTTTCAAACCTTTTTTTTATCACAATGCCAGAAATATACATACATTTACGCAGATTTTCATTATTTACTTACTTCAAATGTAATGCGGGACTCTAACATTTGGTGGCAACAGTCTGAAAAGTGATTCGCCGTTTATAGTGATTCAACGCAAAATCGCAAAAACAAAAACGAAAACTGTATTAGTATTTAAAACAATAGTCTCTCAAGGACTATTGTTTTAAATACTAATACGTCCCTTTGGACTAATAAATAAAAATATGAAAGGTTTCAGATTTTAAACTACGTCCAAAGGAGCGTTTTTAACGTTTTGTGTGTTACCTCATTAAATATCATGTTCTACGTACTCAAACCATAAAGTTCAGTTCAACAGCAATATCTCAAAAAATTATTTTAAAATGACCGTATCTTAGAGTCTCTCGCGCTGGTGGAGATAAAATAGGATTTTTTTTTCGTACAGTGTTGACATTACTCGCTTTGAAATCGTTTATAGTTTTTTAATCAAAAATTCGTTGAAGTGTTATAAAAATATGAAAATCGATAATAAAACAAATTTTCAAATTCAAATTAGGGCTTCCACATGCCCATATTGTATGCAAGATTACGTTATTTAAATTTGATAGCTCTAGGTACCGTTGTTTTATCACAATGCGAGAAAACATGCGTACATTCATGCAGATTCTTCAATATTTAATTTCTTTAAGTATAATACAGAGCGATAATATTTAGTGGCAACAATTTGAAAAGTGATTCGCCGTTTATAGTTTTCAATGAAAAATGCCAAAGCGAAATTAAAAGTCCTTCAGGGCAAATTGCCCCTTTGAACTAAAAAACAAATATAAAAAAAAATAAATTTTCGTGCTTCTTTTCTTAATAGTATTTCGTTTTATTTATTTACTGCGGTTTTTTTTTTTTTTTAACTGAAATTTGTTACTTTTAGAAAAGTTGCGGGTTATATTTCGGACATTAGTTGTTAGGCTGTAGGTTGGTTATTTTAATAATTTATATAGCAAAAGCAAAATGCAGAAATTTTAACACATCCTTTGCCTTTATGCTTGTTGTTAGTTATTTTGCGTTGAACAATGCAATTACAATTATGTAAGAAAATCAAACTCATTGAATGTTTTTCTAATAAAAATCGCATTGAAATCAATGTACATAAAAAGATTTGGAATATTTGAAATGAATTTGAACAGAACTTCATCAAACCAGTATAAGCCATGAATATTGTTCCAAAATGAATAAATAATTCGCCATTATTATTTTTACTATCAAATTAGATTATGCTTCATAAACCCGTTCAAAATACGCTTATTATAAATTACTGTTGATGGCTAATTTTTATTTGAATTATTCCTTAATTATGTTATTCTTTACATGTAATTATATATAATTCATATTAAATGCAGTATTAAATTAAATGCAGTAATTAAAATGCGCTATTCGTTTCGCTCGATCGAATAATTAAAATTTATAACTTGTCGGTTTTAATTATGTATCTATATATCCAAAAAGTAAATTTGTTTAAATATTTCCTAATGCTATTTTTTAATTGAATTCAAGAGCATTTCGCATATTTCTGAACATTCAATTTAAAAAACTAAAAGGATATTTTATGAAAATGTTATCTGTTTAAAGAGAGTATTGAAAAAAACATGCTTACATGCTACTTTTTATTTCGTGAAGAAGAAGAATGTCCACGTTTGTTTGTTTTTATAAACCACTACATGCTCAAGCGTTTTCTTGGCGATTAAACATATCGGTCTAAAAACGAAAAAAGAAAAAGAGCAACCCTCTTTGCCTCCTACTAAGAACTGTCATTTAGAGATCTCCAGGGTTCCAGAAATAAGGGGGGCAGGAGACATCTGCATGGCTGCTTTAAGGCGGTCATAACGCTTTCGAGGTCTTCACCACTGACCGCCTAGAACCGTCAGTAACGCTTTCGAACACTTTTCCAGTGACCGCCTAGAAGCGTCCGTAACGCTTTCGAGGTAGGCCGTCTTGACCGCCTAAACCCGGTCATGACGCTCAGAGGGTTAATTACTTATATTATATTGAACACAGTATTTAACATGGTAAATTGACATTCCTCTCAAATATTTAATAAAATGTTTTCTAAACGCAGCATTACAGTATAAACTAATGATGATAATTCGAGTTAATTTACTGATAACTGTCTTACAAAAGACACAGTCAGTTCTATCTTATAACAGTATATTTCAAAGTGGTAGTTATAGAAAAATATCAGGCATACAGAAACATTTTCCCAGTATTAATCCACATGACATTTTTATGTACTTACACGTTGCTTTCTACATAACTAGAACCAATTTTCATAACTACAATTTTGACAAATTTATACCTATTTGGGTTTGTATATTTTTTTTTTATATTTTTGAATAAACTGCATTTACTTTTGGCTCAAAGCATAAGTCAACTTCATTTCATTTAGCTAACTTATTTTCAAAGACAGAAAAGTAATTTGTAGTGTAATCAAAATACTACATTAGAGTTCTCTTATCATATAGTACAATATTCAACAATAAATTTTGATCTTAAATTAAATGCAAATCTTCCTCATTAAAAAAACTACTGAGTTTTTTTTCCAAGCAGTAACAAACAAACTTACTACCTTTAACCTCACATTAAGAAAAAGTTAAGAGAAATGAATCAAATTGTGAATTTTTACTTTAAGAATAACAGTTCATAACATCAAAAATCTATTTTACTTTAAACACTGTTATGCACAAGTTTTAGAGTCATATTTCATTTCACTGATATAAAGCAGCATTGTCAAAATACTTCATTTCATTAAAGTGTTCGGTATTTTCTGACTACCTTAGCCCATAAGGTTGGTAATTGGTGAAAATTATACAATAATATGTACTCATTTTTATATGCAGTCATTGGTAATTGTTTTTTTGGCTATTTTTTAGTTTTGTTTGGTTATTTTTAGGGCTCATAAGTAATATTTTGTTCATACATGATAATAAAGAGACATTTTCTAAGAAATAGAAATTTTACAAGGGAGAAAAAAATCTATATACTTGACAATTTAATTTCTACAGCTAGTGTTAACAGTTCAGCAAAATAATGCTTCAAGTGTAAATCTATGTGTAGCCAAATACATATTTGGTAGCCAAATATGTATTTGGTACACACATGCATGAGTTAGCTACTGTTGCATGCATACTAAAAATACATTAAAAACACATTGCACTATATGTTGAAACTATAGATGTGAATATTAGAAAGTACCAAATATTCCTTTCAACAGTTTGTTCTAATGCAAAATTACTGTAAATATATAATTAGCAACATTTACAAACCCTCTTCAGATAAAGGAATTTTGTTCTGCTGTTGGGGAAAAAGACCTTTTACCATTGATTTGTATTCTTCATTGGCTTGTTCTGCTTTCAATTTCTGAATTCTCTCTTCTAATTCAGGATTCTATAAAAAAATAAATAAATAAAATAAGAATTCTAAATTCGGTCAACATTTAAATATTCTAGCATTACAAAATCATTAATACACAATAACACACCAAACAAATACTAATTCAGAAGTCAAACAACAAAAATCAGCGTTACATTTTCAAATTTTCACAGCAAATGTGACTGTGAAAATTTGAAAACATAACGCTGATTTTTGTTGTTTGACTTCTGAATGAGTATTACAAAATACACGAAACTTCATAAAGTGATATCATGTAGATATGAATTTGTTAAAAATGTGCTTTGTTAAAAATATGTTTATACAGAACATTATTTATTTTAACTAGATGGTATAAATGCATATCTATAAAATCATACAACTTTCCCATATACAGAGGGTTTAACTTTAGCTGCCTATGGATTATTTCAAGAGGTAGAATATAAGCGGGTAAATACCCCTAACACGCATCCAGAAGAAATTGGAGCTGGAATGAGTAATCCTTACATCAATCGCATACAGAATAATTTTATTGGTGTCCTCCGATAACATCGCGGCAAAAAATCGCGGAGAAAACGTCGGGAGAAAAAACGCAAGACGAAAACGTCGTGGAACAAAAACATCGTGGGAGAAAAATCGCAAAGAGAAAATATCGCAATTCTAAAACATCGTGTACAAAACATCGTCGTCGAAATAAACGTTCAAAAACTTCGCGTTTTAAAAACATAGTCGTCGAAAATATCGTGGTAAAAAATAAAGTATACAAATCATCGCATGACGATAACATCGCAGACAGCTTTTTCATAATGCTTTCGCAAACATGCTTTAATAACGTAAATGGATTTCCCCATAATGATTTTTGAGGCAAGATGGAAAAGGATAATTTTACTTTCACTTTTTTTTAACTAATAACTTTTGCTGAAAACGTAAGAAGGAAACTAAGCATACCAAATTAATGCAACTTAAGCTTATACTTTCCTGAAACTTACCAGTAAAACTTTATAAAAAAATATTTATTAATGGCTTTTGTTATTAACTATGTCGTTAAAATTCTAAATTGCTATAAGCATTTAATTGCTATGATTAATTTCCTTCTTACTTTACTTTTTTCATCAAAATTTATTAGTAATAAAAAAATGAAGTAAAAATTTCTTTCTTTCCATCTTGCGCTCACAAATCATTATGGGAAATCATTTATAGTTCTTAAAGCATGTTTGCGAAAAGCATGTATGAAAAAAGCATGTCTGCGAGGTTTCGTCATGCGATGACTTGTGGATACTTTATTTTTTACCACGATTTTCGACGACGATGTTTTTAATGCGAAGTTTTTGAAGCGCTTTATTTCGACGACGATGTTTGTACCACGATGTTTTAGAATTGCGATATTTTCTCTTTGCGATGTTTTCTCCCACGATGTTTTGTAGCACGACGTTTTCGCCTTGCGTTGTTTTCTCTGCGACGTTTTCGTCCGCGATGTTTTCGGCTGTAACCTTTTTATTGAGTCTAACACATTGCAAATTTTGCCATATTCACGGCATAACATGAACGAATGAACGGAAGAATCTTTATTACGGATTTCTTTGCTCCTGATGAAAAAGAACTGTACCTGTTTGCCCTCGAAATCATTAGAGTCTTGACTATAATTTCACCAAACACAAGCTTGTTGTTTTGTCTACTTTTATGTTTTACTTTGACATGTTTCTCCTCTTTCTTTACAAGTATACTTTTTCTAAGTGTTTCGTTTTTAAGAACAACAATGAAGACTGAATAGAAAAAATGGATTAAACATTGCAAGATGAAACGTATACTAATCCGAGACTGTTTGCTGAAGAACATTCTGTTGGAATAAACTCATGAAATGTCTAAAAAGTTACAAATGAGCTTTAACTACAAAGTTGTCTGATATAACTTATCTCATACGTGTCAGGGACTTGGCTATTGCATACCGCATGCCAAATACGATGGTGTGCGTGATTTGGAAAAACGAAGATGCTATTAAATCGTCTAACGTTGCGAAGCGGGTGAAATCGATTACTAAAGATCAGGGATCTCAGACAATACTGAAAAATTGCTTTTCATCTGGATAGCAGGAAA